AGTGAGACAAGGTTTTCTTTAAAGTTCAGCTAGGCAAATTTTGTGAAAACAGACCTTTTCTGCAGGAGAAATAAATTTTCAGTTGTTGTTATGTTCATTAGAAAAATATGCTACCTGTTTTTTGAAAGTTTTCAAAGGAGTGGTTTTCCCTCCAAAGCTGGAATGCAGATGGTCTGTGGTGCTTCCTTTTATCTATTGGCAGTTCTAAATCTGATTGGCTACAATGCCAACATTCCCCCTCATTTCCAGTAGAGCCATTTTGTCCTGTTCTTCCAAGCTCCTATATGTTATGCTGGTCAGTGGCTGCCATTTTTAAATTATCTTATGGTTGATCCGACAATGGCCCACTAAATCAATGAAGTTACTTCGTGTCTTCTCAATCCTGCTAGAATAGGGTTTCCCAAACTGTAAGGCATACCTCACTTGGGGAGATGCAGACAGAGTCCAGAGATGTGAGGAAACTTTTAGTTGTACATTATTACAATAAATCTATTAGACCTTTGTTCTCCTTTCTTTTGAAAATTGGGACATCTGCTATCTTACTGTTAATCTGCTAATCATTATCTTCATTTAGTACCTAATCTATTCTCCCAATTTTTTTGAAAATTAATAGAAAACACATATTTGGCATCCTAGGATGCAGTTGGCTAGGCTCCTGCACTAATTTAAGGTGGCTGAGTAATTTCTTATTAATCTTAAACAGCAGTTCTGATCTAATATCAGTCCCTATTGTGCAATGGTTTATATAGCTCATTTTGCTGGAGGCAAAATAAGAGTTGAGCAATTCTGCCTTCTCCTTGCCACCACTTCATATTTCATTTTCTATGCTAAGCAACAGAAAAAAGCTTGCAGAAAAAAAAATCCATTTTTGCAGCCTTTGCTAGTGTTGGCTAGTTTTGAATTCAGCTTCTTAGAAATTGTGCCTATGTTTATATATCTACATTCATACCTGGCAATCTGTCTTCTCTTAAATTTCTTAGATATGCCATTTCTTTTCATCACCTAAGCCTTTTATATATCTATAGTGGCTTTATTTGAATTAACTGTACTTTGTCTTGAGTTACCAGACACTTCAAGAATGCTCATACATACACTGAGATAGTATACTAGTGGAAATATGATTGCGATATGTTTCTTATGTATCCTTAGAATCTTTGACGTAAAGGAGCTGGGAGAGATTTACATTATATAGTTGGCTTATGTCTTGTAATTCTTTGGCTCTCTTTATGATAATGCATTGGTTCTGCCCACTGTTGCTGCCTCACCAGCATTATTGTCTTGAGGACAGTTTGTGGGGAAAGGTTGCAAATGAATTCTTACTCTACAGATATCTATCCAACCTCACCGATTGACTTAGCCAATTGGAAGGGCATTTCTACAGAATGCCACTGAACTGAGATGGTTAGCAAGGCTCTGCTGATGCCAATGCTTAGTAATAGAGTTGCAAGTCTGCCTGATCATCCTTATTTGTTCTCATAACTCCCCTAAGATGAAACAAATAACTTGTAGTAGCAGTAAACAATTATTTTTCTACTGGGGCCTAAGAAGCTACAGGTTTTACTGCTTAATAAACAGGTGGGGAAGATGAGAAAAAGCTGCTTGGATGCTGTATAATGAAATAAATAAGATCAGTAATGTACATATAAACAACCAGAATCTCTGCCACTAGACAAAGGGGTATTATCAACATGGAATGAACCTGCTCAAATGAAATAAAGAGGTAGATTTAATACTCTGCCATGTATTCTTAATCCTAGTAATTTGTTCATTCCCCTGTAAGCAGTGCCCTTTCGTTTATGTACTGCCCTAAACACCTGAAACATTGTTATTATCATAGGTTCAGATTTTTCAGGCAGCTGCTCACAACATATACATATTGTGAATTTTCCTCTGGAGTTATAGTTGTTGGAATAGTTGGAATGCAGTTGGATGTTTGGGATGCAGTGTGATCAGAGCTGGTGCCTCTGCATAGAGATTCAGGGAAAAGATCCTTGAGAGTCCTATCCATTTCTGCCTCTTTTAATCTCCATCCTCTGCAGGTAGTCCTCGACTTATGACTGTTCACTTAACGGCCGTTCAAAGTTATGATGGTCTCAGAAAATATTATTTATGACCTCATCGAAGTTATGGTTGTCACACCATGCAGTAACGTGATCATTTTTTTTACCATTTTCCACAAAAAATGCCCATTGGATAAGATGGATTTGGAGTTATGAACATGTGATTTGCTTAATGATCATGGTGACTCGTTTTGTGATTGGTGTAAAAATGGTCTCAGGGTGACTCAACATACGACTGCAACAATTCATGATCAAAATTCTGGGATCAGGCTTGGCCATAAGTCAAGGAATACCTTCTGGGTCAGGGATGTCAGAATTGTCCTCTAGTAAATAATCTATATGACATTGGTGGGGGAGTTAGTTGACTGGGTACAATTAGTTTGATTTTTAAAAAGTCTGGGGCTAAACCTAATTCCTCCTGGGTTAATTGGTTAACTCAGTTTTTGAATTTGCACAGGTTGCTTACTTCTGTGACTCCCAAATCAGTATGTCATGGAAATGGGGCTTTGAATTAGAAAGTAAAGCATGATAAGCGCCAAGTAAGAATGGTGAATGGTGAGGAAGATTTTTCTGACTTTTGAGATTTCTTTATTGACCAGTCCATTCATATCAATTCATTTCAGGAAGCATGAAGCTCATTCATTCATTCATTCATTCATTCATTCATTCATTCATTCATTCATTCATTCATTCATCTATCCTGTTTCTAAATGGCCCACCTCCCTCAGAGGTTTAAAGGGGGGTTTTAGGCTTTAGTCTCATGAATGCCAGTATCTGACTTTTCATGAGACCCTCTTTGGCTATTTAAAATGCTGTATCTTATCTTATTTGGAATGGACCATAGGAAAAACTATTTCCAGAAGTGCGGAATAGAATTGCAGTTAATCTCTGACGTTGTCAAAGCAAAAGAAGCACCAAATGCCAGAGGATTTCTTTTAGATATATACAGGATTAAAATTAAGAACATTTGCCACAATTACTTTATAGTACTTTATAACAATTCGATCATCGCTGAGAAGTTTGATGGATAATTACCCCCTCCCCTCTTAATCATATAGGCTTGACAGGCACGCTAGTAATAAGCATGTTGATATCCCTAATGTAAATGGTCTCTGATTGAAGTAATAGGGCTCAGAAAAAAATTCAAGAGATACATGGCCAAACTATTTATCACTTAACTATCAAGTGCTTTTTTGTCTTCCTCCAATTACAAATATTGTTTTTGAGATTGCACTGAATAGCAAGGAATTATAACTACCACAATTTCACTTTAGCGGCTTATTTACACATACATTTTTGTACTAGATGCTAGTGACAGTGGTACAGAACAGTCATAACCATGATATTTCACTGCATTTAAACTATTTGCAATCAATTTTAACATCTATACAATTGTTCTTTGGTTAATAGGTAACATTGAAGATATGTTCTGGAAAATTCAACTAATTTTGCTAAGGTGAAGTTGAGGAAAGAGAAAGTTTCATGACATGTTTGAACAAACTGCTCTAATACTTCAAAGGGAGTGGCAGGGCATTAGCTGGCATGAAAACTGAAGAAAGAGCAAACTTATTACAGGACTGGCATTTGTACATAGTGCTAGATTGCTATCTAAGAGTTGCTTTTGAGATGTGCATATTTATGTTCAGCATTAGAATATTCTCACTTAAAAACATCCATGTGCTTTCTTTGTGTAAAATTTGTACCATCTTTTCAATGGATGTATGCTCTGTGGTACTTTTCTGAGGGCCACATCATAGGCCACTGAAAGCATATAGCCCTGATGACTTGTTCATTTTTCTTGAAAAGAGCCCCAAAGGTAAGGAATTATAATTTTGATCTGGGAGAGGGAGAGGAAACTTTTTATCTACATGCCCTCTGTTAAATAACAATCCACTTGATCCGATGCTGCAGTGCGCCTTGGGCAGGAAAAACCTGTTGTAGTTGTTAATGGGAATTAACAACATTGATTACATTTGAATATAATCCATGAGTTAGAATTTCAGCAATGACCCCAAAATTCCTCCTATATACATATGTAGATTTTATTTTCCAACATAACTGTTAGCAAGAGACAAGAAACATTCATTTCCACTTCTATTTTGGATTGACTGCAGTCTACTGTGTCTTCTGAACACTAAATTTGGCTTAAAGTTAACTGTTGAGACTAATCTTAACTTACTCTGCTTAATGAAAACAAACTATGTTTTGAAATTAACATTAATACAGTCAGTCTGAGTTTGGATGACCCAGCCAGCTGTGGTTAATTGTAAAGGGAAATAAAAAATTCTTGTAGCCAGAAAAGGTGGGGAAGTGCATAATTTGGGAGGGGGTTAATGTTGGTCTTTTGATGCTAATTTGTGTTTCTCTATGGAGAATCCACTTTGGACAGAATGTTTGGGCAGAAACATTGATTTCACTTGCATCAAAATCCAGGATTTGCTCAACCACAATAATAGCTCTTAGCAGGCAGTGGGTTTTTTTTTAAGCTTCTCAAGGACCACAAAATGCTGAGCCAGACTGAAAGTAGAAAAATCAGACTTGTTTCTCTATGTTCTAATGCTCATCCCCCCCCCCCCCCCGTTTTTTTAGGTATAGTATTGTCTCTTTTGAGATAGCTGCAACTTCTCAGGATCATTTCACCCCAAACACATTTAGAATAGAATCCATAACCATATAGTCTGGTCTTGCACTACTTCTTAGTCTCTTTAACAAAACCTCTTAGTAGTGAGAAAGAAACCATTGTAAAATGGCTTCATCCTGCTGGAGCATGTTATAGCTGTTGGAAATTTTTTTACTTTGCCTGTTCAACCTAAATTCCATCATATGTGAAATGCCAAACGGGATGATTAATAACGAGAGAGAGAGAGAGAGAGAGAGAGAGAGAGAGAGAGAGAGAGAGAGAGAGAGAATAAATACAAGCACAAAATAGGGAGTGGCATCAGCATTCAGGTGAACTAATGCAGTTCAGTCTTTGTGCTTCATACTGTCACCAGTAACACCAGTCTTTCGATTGTGCTTTTTACATCTTTTTTTTCTCAGTTCAGGAAATAGAGCTGCTACATAAGGTAAGTGAGGAATATCTTTTACATCCTTTGTAGACATCTAAGCAAATACCCAGGATTCCTTATAAAGGGCCCAGTGGGGCTGAAAATAAAAAAAGAGGGGGGCACTGCAGGAGAAATTGAAAGAATTTCCCATTTTGCATAACTTCATTTGGACGATAGATTTCAGAGTGAATAGTTGCTGGAACATTTCTATAGTTGTCTTGTTTATATGCTGTATTGCTTGTATTGATCTAACCTGTATATGGTACAATAGTTCACTTTTTAGCAAGTGTTTTGAAAAATCACACCTTACAATGTGGAACAAGGATGATAAGCTTTCTTATAAGCTTGATTGACTGGGTGGTGAATAACCTTAGTCTATCGTATGGTAGGCAAGACTTCTTGTGCAATTGTCCTGTTTCATTTATAGAATTTAAAGTTTGTTTGTTTTTTTTAAAAAATAGTGTCTTCTACTTGTGATCCTCCTGTGCTTCCACATCTCTTTCTCCATTTTTTCCAAGGTCAGACAAATCACTTGAGATAGAATAGCTATCTAGTGCAGGGGTCTTCAAACTTGGCCCTTTTATGACTTGTGGACTTCAACTCCCAGAATTCCTCAACTAGCGTGCCTGGCTGAGGAATTCTGGGAGTTGAAGTCCACAAGTCATAAAAGGGCCAGGTTTGAAGACCCCTATCTAATGCCTTAGGAGCTGTCCATTGGAATCATCCAAAGTGTATGAGATTGCGAGTAGAAACTTGATTAAAGGTGAGATTTTTCATAGGGTGTGGACTTTTGACTCAGCTTCTTTTTATGTTGTTCATCAAATAAAGGATGGTAAGACTGATCTTTATTTCAGCAGGACAGGATCATTGTCTGTTCTTGTGCTTTTATATGCAGACAATTACAAACATGTGATGACTGTTTCTGGCTCTTTAGACTGTATCAGGCATGAGAATGGGAATGAATGAGTCTAAAGTTTGCATAATGAATGCTTTCCATTCGATCTGCATTTTCCTTCCTTCCTTTTTCTGCATGAAAAGAAACTCAGTCGGAGTCTGAGGAGGAAAGTAAGGACCCATTAATTTTTTCTACCCCGTATTATTTTTTTAATCCTGAGGAGGAAAACCAACTTTTATGATATTATCCAAGCATACAATATTTTAATAAAAGTGAAGTCTCTCATTTTTAGTCTGATGGTAAAGCCACAGACCTCCTTCTTTATGATGACTTGGCTTCTATTCATGCCATTTATAAAGAGCGATTAAGGTTTTGGACCAAAAGACTCAGATTCAAGTGCATCCTTAGCCACCAAACTTACTTAAACTAGTTCACCAGTTTGCTGTTATGGCGATAAAAGAGATTCTTATGAAAGCTGCTCTGAATTCTTGGAGGAATGATGGATGTAAGCCCTGCAAGGTAGTTGAGGGTAAGAAACCTGTCCTTCAAGGCTATTAAGTATGCATTCTACATCAGAATATAACTTGAACAAACGTAATTATTAACATAGCCCCAAACATTTTACTGACTGAGGCAAGGAAGCCAATGGGAACCTGTCTCCTTACACAAAATCTGCTTTGACAATACTAGTGTTAGGACCGTGTTCTTCACTACACCTGTAGAAAGGAGTATCAGCCCTTTGAGGTAGGCCAAATCAGGAAAGAGATTCCACAAGAAATACTGGAACTTTACTTCAATGTTATAGGGTGTAATAATAGTATTGTGAAAGCCTGATATAATTTTTCTCATCCAACTATTATACTCAAGAGAATCAAGGTGAGGCAATCTTGAGTTTCTTTCTCATCCCCTCCTCTCTTTCAAGGTAAGTTGTTTATATAACTGCTTTTACATTCACACTTCCATAAGCAGGCAGCTTAAAGGGGAGCAAAGCGTCCTTTGTAGCTGTTTCCCTTCAAGAGCCTTTTTTGTCATCTTCCATTATTTGCTATGTGAACTGACAGCTCCTTTCTCTCCTTGACAGTAGAGCCATCCCTGTTTCTAAATCTTCGCCCTAAAAACAATTTAATCAAGATGTAGCATGAGGCCAAGGCACTAGGAGAATTATTACATGTTTTTCAATATTTTAGCATCCAAAAAGTAGCCAATGAGCATGAGCCAATGCTAGTCTATATGGCTCTTGTAATTTTTAGTTGATGAAGATTAAATCATGTTTATTAATTTATTTTTAAGAATCTGGAAATGATCCAACTCAGTTGTGTATCATGCTGCTCATGGGCCTTATAGGATCATTGTTAAGGCATGACGTAGTTTGAAGAAACTTGATGCAACAATGGTGCTCTCTTGCTCAAGTCAAGAAAATCTGGATTGGGTCAAAACTTCGTGGGAGATCCCTGTGGACTCCATGGCTGCAATATCTTCTGCTGTGTCATGGAAAAAAAGGCAGACTATAAGTATACTAAATGATTGTAATATAAAGTTTAGTACCTCCATTATCCTCATGATGTGTAGAAATTATTCCAGCATCTTTTTTTACTTGTGTTGATGGGATAATATGAAAAGCTGCAGCTTTCTCTAGAGAACCTCATGCTCTGGCTATTTCTCAATTCTATGCAAAATCTGAGTATATATGGATACATGGGAAACAAAGGTAAATCTTCCATAAGAGTGAGTACATTTTATATTATCCGGGAAGCTTGAGATTAAACAATACTTCTGTGGATCACACACAGCAAAAGTAAAATAAATACATAATTTATAATGTTTTATTGCATAGCTTGTGAACTAGCACAATTATTGATCATATAAGGTTGCCCATCCAGGGTTTAACAGATCTTATGTTGGTACTTTTCTGGGACTGCAAAGACAGCCGGCTTGTCAAAGTTCTTGGCAAGCCACAGTCCACAGTTAGTGAGCTGTCTGTTCAGATTGGTGAATCACAAATTATGGAGATTTCTCCCCTCTCCTCTCTACATAAGATGGGAGCATAAAATATTTATCTCCTCTATTTGCTGTTGTGAACAGAAGCACTGAGAAATTTTGGGGGGACATGTAGAGCAGTGGCCCCCAAACCCTTTTGGGCACCAGTTCCATGGAGAGATTTTTTTTCTGTGCACTGAAGGAGGTGTGATTTTGCATGCTGCCTGCATCCCGTGGATGGGGCTTCACACTTGTTTGTATGGCCTGGTTTCTGGCATGCCGTGGCCTGGTGCCGGTCCATGGACTGAGAGTTGGGGACCCCTGATGTAAAGGACTGGCATAACTTTCTAATAATTTGGGAGATAACTCTCAGCTTCTGCTACAGTAAATTAAATGTCTAAAATACTTTAGGAAGAGCCCAGAATGATTTTTGTGTGGAAAAATAACTATATGTCAATCATATTCCTAAGCTTAAGAACTCTTTAATTCTATATGTGGCTGTTGTACAACTAGTAGAAGTGGAGGTTCTGTTTAAGCCAACCAAGAAAACAAAAATTTCAAGATCTCACAATTTTCTGAACATGCAAAGATGAGGCATGTCAAAGGGCAACTGAACTCAGTAGCAACTGAAGAAAACAAAATATGCTCACATATTCTTGTTCTAGGTAAACCCAGAAGCATTACTCCTTCTCATTACTCATTACTCCTTCTCATTACTCATTACTCCTAAGATAGCATGAAAGGTAATATACTACGTAGAAGAAGCCTCAAATCACTTAAAAATGAATTTAATTGAAATTTTAAAAGAGATTTCTAGAGAAGAGCAAGATTAATAAGTAGAATAGTTCATCCCAGGCATTTTAGTAAAATGTGGGTGTGTTTCAAACTTGCTGTACTTAAAGATGCTACTTTGCCTTGAGCAATTGGTTAGAGGTGCTGACTTAAGCATAATTCTCCATACGAATTCCTTAACCAGTATGTCAGTTATTCCCTGGCTCCACCTCGCTGAGGTTTTCTAGTGACTAATAGCTTCATATTCTTCTTTTTGAATAGTGCTTCATTGGGAAATTGATATTAAATATGGCCTCTAGGTCTATTGCTAAGCTTTCCTACACTGCTGCTTGTTTTCTAGGGAGGCTTTCAACAAGGGAAATTAGATGGAGATATATCTGCACTAAACTAAGGTTTATGCATATAAACAGTGGCCTGTTTTGCTTTCTTCAGTTGCTGCTGATTTTCCATTGCCTTCTTCTACGTAGTATATTGCCTTTCAAGCTATCTTAGTCGCATGAGGAGTAATGCTTCTGGGTTTACCTAGAACAAGAATATGTGAGCATATTTTGTTTTCTTCAGTTGTTACTGAGTTCAGTTGCCCTTTGACATGCCTCATCGTTGCATGTTCAGAAAATTGTTAAGATTTACTTTTTGGAGAACTCTTTTTAAGCTGTAAGTGGATTGTGCACAGGTGCACAGGACTGTGCAACAATTCTTGTCTTTTGTATGAGACAAAGCATGCACCATGTGAATTGCTAGTGGGAAATGTTCTAGTCCAGTGTCATCATAAATGTCCATGTGACCTATGAGTTATACCTGGGAAAGTTTTCAAATAATTTTGTTTTAACACTGATATGGATAGGCCCACATGAGGATTTGGCCACCTCAGTCAAGACAATAATTGTTACATCCAAGCAAAATAAAATAAAATAAAATAATAAATTAAGCAGAACATTAGTTAATTGCTTGTTTAGACACCCAACTTAAACACTCTGTGTCTTTTAAGAGAATAAAACATGAGTTAAGAAAGAATTCTGAGGTGGCACTTAATGGGGATGACCCTGATTTTTCTTCATCTTGTACTGACCAAAAGGGTGTAGTAGTGTATAAATACAGAATTAAGGATTATCGGAATCTCCTCCTGGTAGGACATAGTAAACTAGGGGAAAGGCTTTGCCTATTCTTGTGACACTTTCCCCTCTAAGTAAGTCTCTTTCTCCTATATTTATAAAACTTGCTTCAATAATCACTTCCCAGGTCAAATTCCTCAGCAATGTTCATACCACCCACAGAAACACTTCAATTCCCAATAACAATTCCTCTCACATTTTATGAATTCAACAATTGTAAATTCTCTTTAAAAAGTATATTTGTGTGTGTGTGAATGTGTGTTTATGGCTGCAGTTAAGAACATATAGGTATCAGTTGGATGTCTGGTATTGTATTATGATTGTTGTAGTGAGGTTTTTACCACTAATTAGTGGATCTAATGTGAAAAGGCAAAATATTCCCAAACGTTTAAACTTCTTAGAAAGTTTTAAATTTTATTTAGGTAAGGGAAAGCAATGAACATATATCTGATAGCCCTAATCTGAAACTTGGATAGATCTGCTTTAGCTTTCAGAACTGTAAGAAGAGAAATTTTGCCAGTTGTATGGATTTCTTCTGCTGTAATGTTGTGATGAGATAATTCAAGAGGTTGTAGGGACTGGTTCAAAGCTTTTTGACTCAAAGACAACTTTAGACCACATTGTGCCCTCTTTTCTGTTCATACCGCATGTAGATAGTATTAAATATCATGATTGTTACTTCAGGTTAAACATTTGTTAACTTGTACTGCAAGGCTACAGTGCCATTCAGTGTTTACTGGCATGTGGGATGTGAGAAAGTAGCAATTATTCATATGTAAGATTGTTTGGCTGATTAATTATTTTTCCCTTTTGATTTCAGAATCTTAACCATGGATGCGATACAGGCTGCAAATACAGCTTTTTCGGTTGATCTTTTCAAAAAACTGTGTGAAATGGACAAAAGTGCTAATTTTATTTTTACTCCACTTTCCTTATCAACTTCTCTTGCTCTAGCATATAGAGCAGCTAACGGTGACACAGCAACCCAGATAAAACAGGTAGGATGTTTATTTTTAACATAACTCTTACCGTACTTATTGTTTGGGAATATTATTGTATATATTTTTCTATTTTCCCTTTGCTACATGGATGATAATTGACCCTTCTATAAATTCAAGTATTGTTATATTCTTCCATTAAATCTTGGCTTGGTTTAGCAGCAAAGTTTCTCAAACATAAGGCAGGAAACAGAGTTAAACCTTAAGATGAAACAAAGACAACATATTGCCACATATTTGGCTTTAAAAAAGAGGTTTACGGAATCTGAAAGGTCCCTTAAATATTTCCTATTGTTTATAACTTTTTCTTGTTCTCTCCTCCTCTTAGTGTGGTAGGGCTGCATTTGCACAAGGACATAACAATGTGTGGGTTGACATTTTGTGGTTGTGGATAGTACTACTACTTCTTTTGCCTAAATCTAGAACTAAATTATAATAGTAATATCTTGGTATCACATAGTTGATAAGAAAATATTGAGGAAAGCTATTTGGACCATGTAAAATGCTATGTTTAGAAGTAGTCACACTTTTTTAAAGAGCAGAATATGGAAATAACGCTGTAGATCTCTTATATGCATTTTCTTGGTTCAAGAAAATGTAGTTCCTCACACTTTCACTTAGGATCCTAGCGTTAAATGTTGTTGAATTAATCTATTACAGAATAACATAATAACAAATTTGGAAGGGACCTTGGAGGTCTTCTAATCCAACTCCCTGCTCAAGCAGGAAACCCTATCCAGGGGTAGGCTATGCTGACTCAGGAATTCTGGGAGTTGAAGTCCATGAGTCATAAAAGAGCCGAGGTTGCCTATCCCTGCCCTATACCATTTCAGACAAATTGTTATCCAATCTCTTCTTAAAATCTCCAGTGCTGGAGCACCTACAGGTTCTGGAGGCAAGTCATTCCACTGATTAATTGTTCAAACAATTAATAATTAATTGTTTAATTATTAATTAAAGCTATCAAAAATTGCAATCCTGATTTTATATAAAGAATTCCCACAGCTGAAATCTATTGTATTTAACAGGTATTAGCTATTGCATTGGTAATCTCTGCATATGGCAGCAAAGGTGAAGTAAACCTCTGGAGGCAAACCAAACTGCCTATACATTGATGGAGCTGAATTAATTCAAAGTAATTAATTTTTTTGCTATATTGTTGGCCCCCACTATAACTTAAGTTAAAAGAGGTGAAGCCCATACAGGGAGGAAAAGGTTATTAGAGGCCATTTGTGAGTACTAGTTACTGGTGAAGGTGTCATTCTTCATGTCCTACTACTTGCATGCTTCTCAGTGAGTTCTTCTTGGCCACAGTAAAAGTAAGAAGCTGGACAAAATATCAGATAGGAAAGAACTCTTATGTTTTGTTTAATTGGGTTGAAAGCACTATGGCAGAAATCTTTACTGAAATCAATATTTAAACTGGTATTTTTTTTTTATTAACAGGGGCTCCATCTAGAAGATGTCAAAGATATTCCATTTGGATTCCAGACAATTACCTCAGATGCTTCCAAACTTAGCTCATTTTATTCATTAAAAATGATTAAGCGGCTTTATGTAGAAAAATCCCTTAACCCTAGTGTGGTAAGTTGGGAAGAAATAATAGTAATTATTGGTTGACAGTTACCATCTAAATTCCATAATTAATTACATTATGCTCATGGTGGCTTTACTAAATTTATTTATTTTTTTAATCTATAGGTATTCTCAGTTTATGACTGTAATGGAAATGGCCCATTACTGTTGTCAGTTGTGATGGGTCATTTGTCAGTTGTGATGGGTCAGTTGTCAAAGTGGGTCATCACAGTGTCGGCCAAGCAGTGTCGGCTGGCGACCCCCAGGGGGAGGGCCTTCTCTGTGGGTGCCCCCGCCCTCTGGAACGAACTACCCCCCGAGATCCGGATGATTCCGGATCTCCTTACTTTCCGCCACGCCCTCAAGACATGGCTTTTCCAGCAAGCAGGCCACCGGATCCCTCCTAAAATTTAGCCCAAGTAAAAAATCTTTTAAAATTTGTCGTGTTGAGATTTTATAAACCAAAATTAACCAAAATAGACCACCCCTAACACCTATACAAAGACAAAAATTTATACAACACTCGGCGGGACTCAGGGCAGCCCTCTTCCCGCCGATATAAATCAAAAATAAAGTAAAGTAAAGTAAAGTCATCACGTGACCGATCCAGTTTTATGACTTTCCCCTCCCCCCAGTAGTGAAGTGAATCACCATGGTCATTAAGTGAATCTGGTCGTTAAGGGAACACATTTTTCACTATTGGATGTTTTTACTGAAAACTAGAAGTAAAGTAAGCAACTTTCCCAAGGGGCTGATAATAATCTGAGAGTTCCAACCATGGAAATTGTTCTTGCTTGGCAGCAAAAGTGATGCATGAAATTGCAGCCCAAATTAGAACCGCTATAGCGTTTGTGTGTGTGTGTGTGCGTGCAACTTTGGCAATTTTAGCACTTGGTGGACTTCAGTTCCCAGAATTCGCCAGCCAGCATTCTGGGAGTTGAAGTCTACAAATCTTAAAGTTGCCAGGGATGGACACTGTTGCTCTGCAGGATCTTAATTATAGCTTGTAGTTTTTAATGAGAATTACTGAAATTCAGTTGTCATAGACTGGGTTGTAGCAAGTAGCACCCTTCTGTTGACAGAAGATGTTATTAGAAGATTCAGGCAGTAGAATAAAAACAGAAGTTTGGAGTTGGGTTTGGGGTTTTTTTTGGCAGCACATCCTAAAGAAAAGATTCACTAAAGAACTGTGGAGAGAATCCAGGGGGATGTGAGAGTCTGAAAGCTGATTTTCTCCCTTTTCGGCTGCCAGCGGTCCCCAAAGAAAATTCCCTTGAGGAATATGAGTTGGAAACGGACTTGTAGTTTTTAACTTCTGGTTTATTTAATGTTAACTTGTGCATTTTTCCTTTTGTCTTCATTTTTATACGCTAACTGAGGAATGTTTCAAGTTGAGTTTCGCACATTCGAAGCATAGGCCACAATAAATATTCATTTGATTTTAATGTGCTGGTGTTATTGAATTTTGAAGCAGTTCACCTTAAGTCCAAACACTATTAATATAAGGCCACTTTTACTGATGTGGAGAACATACAGGTAGTTCTTGACTTATGACCACAATTGGGATGAGAATTTCAGTTGCTAAGCGAGGCAGTTCTTAAATGAGTCTCACTCGATTTTACTACCATTTTTTTCCCACTGCAGTTGTTAAGTGAATCATGCAGTTGTTGAGTAAATCTGGCTTTCCCCATTGACTTTGCTAGCTGAAAACCTGCTGGAAAGGTAACAAAGCACGATCATGTGATCCTGGGATGCTGTTGCATCTGTCATAAATACATGCCAGTTGCCAAGTGACTGAATTTTGATCACAGGACCACAGGGATACTGCAATGGTCCTAAGTGTGAGGATCAGTTATAAGTCACATTTTATTTTATTTTTTTAAAACAATTTTTATTAGTTTTCCATTTTGCACCAACAGAAGCTTAAGAACCAACGTGGAGATATGGTGATCAATTTCAAAAAGAAAACAATAGCATTATAAATATACAGTTCACACAATATTTCTTAAAATTTCCCTCTCTATCTATATATAGTATTATAATCAAATTGATTCGAATAAAATCATTCATTAATATATCTAAATATAAATTCTCTTAATCAATCAAAACTTTCAACCGCTCAGTGTCTATTCTATACAAATCTATAATTTCTCACATATTTAAACTTAAACTGAAACTCTCCATTTATTTAAGATATATTATAATATCATTAATACATTTCTAGAACAAATTTTCATTTGTATTGCTACATATGAATTTCATTAATCAATAAACGTTTAAGTCACATTTTTCAATACCATTTTAATTTCAAATGGTAATTGAATGAATGGCTAAAAGTTGAGGACTACCTATATATAAATGTTCAGTGTATAATTTGGAATTAAAATGATTTATAATTTTTTATGCATCTTTAAAATAGGAGCTGCCCCATGTTGCGTATGATAGTATTGTACACTGGATTAAAAAAGCTTTCCCATTTGCTTACTTTGCTCCCTTAATATTTCTTGATCAGGGAAAAATCCGAGCCCATTGAAGTTCATTACAGTATAACCTATGTGTTCTAGGCAAAACTATTTAATTTAATTTAATTTAATTCATTGTGAAAGCAGTTGATGGAGATTTGTAAATGGGACATTTCTTGCAAAGTGCAGGAGAGCAAGAGTCATCAATATTTGGGCCTCTTGACATATTTGGCTTTGGTTCATGGAAATACAAAAGTATAAATAATCACATCAAGGAGAGAAGCAACCTAGAACTAAGGAGAAACTTCCTGACAGTTAGAACAATTAACCAATGGATCAACCTGCCTCCAGAAACGGTGAAGGCTCCAACACTGGAAGTTTTTAAGAAGAGGCTGGACAGTCATTTGTCCGAAATGGTGTAGGGTTTCTGCCTGAGCAAGGGATTGGACTTGACCTCCAAGGTCCCTTCCAACTTTATTACAATGCCTTAGTAAGGCCACATTTGGAATACTGCATCCAGTTTTGGTCACCACGATGTAAAAAAGATGTTGAGACTCTAGAAAGAGTACAGAGAAGAGCAACAAAGATGATTAGGGGACTGGAGGCCAAAGCATATAAGGAACGGCTGCTGGAATTGGGTATGTCTAGTTTAATGAAGAGAAGGACGAGGGGGGACATGATAGTAGTATTCCAATATCTCAGGGGCTGCCACAAAGAAGAGGGAGTCAAGCTATTCTCCAAGGCGCCTGAAGGCAGGACAAGAAGCAATGGATGGAAACTAATCAAGGAGAGAAGCAACCTAGAACTAAGGAGAAACTTCCTGACAGTTAGAACAATTAACCAGTGGAACAACCTGCCTCTAGAAGCGGTGAATCCTCCAACACTGGAAGTTTTTAAGAAGAGACTGGACAGCCATTTGTCCGAAATGGTGTAGGGTTTCTGCCTGAGCAGGGGGTTGGACTTGATGACCTCCAAGGTCCCTTCCAACTTTATTATTATTATTATTATTATTATTATTATTATTATTATTATTATTATTATTATTATTATTATTATTATCATCATCATCATCATCATCATCATCATCATCATCATCATCATCATCATCATCATTACATGTTATGAATTGTGCAAGTTTGGCTTAGAGATTGAAAGCTGCCCCCCAAAACTGCCTAGTGTGCCTGATGGTTTCCAGTCCTCCTGTGTCTGTGTGTAGAATCCCAATCAAAGTCCCCCCCCTGTTGTTATTCAAGTTTAAAATGTGTGTCACAGTTTTGTCCTTGGCAGCAACACCCTTGCTCTTCATTTTCATGTTACCAGTGGGGAAACGAGGTCTTAACCTGGAGCCTTCTCCCTTTCAGGAATTCATCAATTCTGTCAAAAGGCCCTTCCCATCAGAATTTGAAGTTGTAGATTTTAAAGATAAACCGGAAGACACCAGGCTGCAGATCAACAAATCTGTTTCTGACCTTACTGATGGTAAGTGCATTCTTTATCAAGAGATACTTTTAAGTCATGAATTGTGATGTCCTTGAATCGGGAATTATCCCTTCAGATATAAGAGTTCATCCTACTACATGTTTGCTTATTTATGGCTTCTGTGCTAATAATATTACTGTACCACTACACCAATACTAATAAGTTTGAATATATTTCAGTTTTAAAATGGAAGTCCCTTTTCCCTGGTATGGTTAGGCTTTTTTAAAGATTACCTTTTATTGGCATTCAATAAATGACCTATTGTGTCAGCAATATGGAAGCCTTTCAGTGTAATTAAGCCAAGATTTTTTTTGGCACTATATATCACATTATTATATCCTATTACACGATTATTTTTGCATATAGTAGACAAATAGAAAAAATGGCATTGTTTTTTCAAAGGTATGGAAAAATAGTGTATGCATTTAGTGCAAAAAATAGATTCTTCCCCACTTCTCCCTAACCAAGGGTTGAAAATCCCTGGTAACTTTTTTTTTCTGCCCATAACATTGCCTTCATCTCATTCTCAGTCCATTTCTAAAGTCATTGTCATCTGTTTTAATTTTAAAGTTGTCTTTTTCCTCTTTTCCTGAAGCATTTTTTTCCAGAGATATAATTTTGTAATGCTTCATTGACCATTTGGTTGCTGATGGAATCAAGAGTTGTGATCTGCCTAACTCCTATTGGTCACTTTAGGCTTCCTTAGGCACACCCCCTTCCCTCCTGTCATTGATTCTTCTCTTGGGGATTTTGGCTTGGGCTGTACAGAGGCATCTGTGTCTATAATGCCTGTCCAGGGCATACCATACTACTAATTGGGTATTCTGCTGATTCCCTGTAAACATGGGCTTGCATTTGAAAGAGCAATACCTTGTGCTACATAGATCATTTAAACTCAGAAAGAAACCCAGAATACTAGTTGGGCATTCTGCTGATTCCCTGTAAACATGGGCTTGCATTTGAAAGAGCAATACCTTGTGCTACATAGATCATTTAAACTCAGAAAGAAACCCAGAATACTAGTTGGGCATTCTGCTGATTCCCTGTAAACATGGGCTTGCATTTGAAAGAGCAATACCTTATGCTACAAAAATCATTTAATCCCAGAAAGAAAGTTTCAGCTGTGTGTGGCTAGTTCTGTCATGATTGCTTGTAGTACGGATTCCTGCTGCTTCTGCAGACAAGGGTTTTCATGTAGCTAACTTTTTACTATTTTTATTATTTTATATTTGGGTACCTGTATAAGGGCACCACAACTACTACTGACCGGGCAATGCTCAGAGAAGCATCTGTAATTTATATGGTGGTTTGTACACAGTGCTTTTTTTCTAAAAAAAAAAAAAAGTGCTGGAACTCACACACGTCATATAACCCACCTTGCCTACCCTACAAGCTTCCATCCAAAAAAGGTGCCGGAACTCCGTTCTGGGCGTTCTATGAGAAAAAAAAGGCCTGTTTGTACAATATGCCACAGATAGTTATGTCAGAACTGTCCTCTCCTGAATACAGTAGCTTTGCAGCAGCTTCATTAGCTGTTTGGGTGTGACCAACTTGCATGTGAAAATATAAAAAAACCTCCTTAAACTAGATGGCATTAACAGATAGGTAGAATTAAAACCACTTATTAAAACAATTTAACTAGAAATTAAGAATATCTGATCTATTCTTTATTGGAGAAAAGTTAGAAAGCCATAATGAAAGACTTCTGATGAGTGCCAGGTTTCCAGTGCAAAAACCTTTATGGAATCAACATGAAAAGCTTTTTGTCTTTTTCTTCTTTTTGCTTCTTCTATTAAGAGCTACTCAGTTCCTCCTTTTGGGGAGAAGACCCAGCTTCCATCTGTCATTTGTTTGGTAATGGCTAGAAATGACATCAAATGTTTTCCTCTGGCCACACAGAAATTAGCTCTCATGCCTACAATGCATGATTTTAGATTTGTACAGAAAGCAAATTGAGGTTTCCATTGTTCAGCTGTTGGCACTGCTGGGCCAATTACCTAACAGAGATCCAGTTTGCTTCTTACATAGATTTAAAGCTATGCCTAATCATGTCCTAATGAGACCATTGGTTCTTTTCAACCAGTATTATCTACCTTTAATGACAGAAGCTGTCTGAGATTGGGACTCTCTGGTAGACAGAGATTCTATTATGTGTAGACAGAAGAGCAGATTGTACGAAAATGTTGGATGGATTGTTTGTTTAATCAATGCTAAATAGGTTAATTTTTCATAGACTGGTATCCTTAGTTTTACTAGGCTAAATTTCCTATATTCGCTATGCAGGCTGGATGGGGGAACTGCCAGTCAAGTACAATTGAGCAACATCAGATGGGCAAGACATCCTTAAGGACCAAATCTTTTTCTTAAAGCAAAAACTGAGAGATTCCATAGTAGTATTGCTAAATAGCTAAATGCCTCTTCTAGAATCTAAATTCTTCTGGAGAGACAGAATCTTGAATTGCCTTTTCCTAGAAACTTTGTCTGTTCGTGCCCCGTATCTGTGATTGCACCTCTAATGAAGTATTCTCGCCCTTATATCTGCAGGTAAAATGGAGAACATTTTAACTGAGAAGAGTATCAATGATGAGACCAAGATAATCCTGTTAAATGCAGCCTATTTTATAACAAACTGGATGAAGAAGTTTCCTGAGGCACAAACCAAGGAATGCCCATTCAGAATAAGCAAGGTATAGGACAGTGATGGCGAACCTATGGCACGGGTACCAGAGGCGGCACTTGGAGCCCTCTCTGTGGGCACACGCACCATCTCCCCAGCCCTGCCTCCTCCCACGACCCCCTCCTCACCAGGAGCCCCCCGGAGGACAGTCGCCCCTGGGCATGGCCCACATGAAGCAGTGCAGCCAAGGACATGGTAGCCGGGCAGCGGGGGCAAGACTCTGCCCTTGCACCCCATCGCGCGCAGATGCTGCTGCGGGGTATGGGTGGAGGGCGTGGCCACCATGGCACTGCTGGGCTGCCTGGGTGATGTGTGGCGGGCCATGGAGGTGATGGGTGGCCCAGTGGGCAGGGCGGAGCAGAGACGGGGGTGGGGGGCAGTTTTTGGGCACTCGGTCTCTAAAAGGTTCACCATCACTGGTATAGGAAGAAGCAACCTGAAATGTTTAACACAAAAATTAAACGCTACAGAAAAGCCTTCAGTTTCTTGCTGAATTTTAAACTAGCCTTTACTTCAATTCACATAATCCAAAATCAGCTCTAATGAGTGATTTTATAGCTAATGATCCAAACCAATGTCTCACAATGGTTTATTTATGATCTTTCCCTTTAAAAAAAAAACCAAATGAAATGTTTAGAAGACATCAGAACATTCCTTTTTGCAGTTAAAAGTGATGGACTCTAAGATGGTAAAAATACAATAGGATTTTAGAATATTATGGATAGCAAAACGATTGGGGGCCAATGTCAAATAGGTTACATTTTTTTTACAAAGCTTAGTTACTCTTTTTCACAATTTTGATTAGTAGTTCCTTATCATCTCTCTTTTTGACCTCTGTTATATATAGCAAATTCAATCCTTAATCCAGGTCAGGATTTCAAATGGGTTAAAATACATGGTGATCCATCCTAGAATTCTTATTATCTACTCTTGCTATGAATCTAGATTCATATACCTGTTCTAAGTTAACAAATGCAACACTGAATTTCACAAAATAAGATGCTGAGATTAATATTCTCATGTGCATGATTATAAAGAAGCAAATACAATGTTGTTAATCACACAGAGTACATTTCTTAAAAATTCTATTTATATTTAATAATTCAGTTGAAGGACTGAATTTCTTCAAAATATTAACTTTTATTTTACAGTATACACATTTGTATTCAGAATTTAACATTTGAGTTCTATTCTCAATTTGTATTTTTCAATATATAAAGATAAATACATAATCAGGAATTTTGACCATAACTGGTATTTAAGTGAATTTTCAATTTCTGTTTTTTCCTTATTAGACAGAAACCAAACCTGTGCAGATGATGAACTTGGAAGCTACATTATGCTTGGGCTACATAAATGATTTAAAAACCAAGATTCTGGAACTCCCATGCCACAATAAACATATAAGCATGCTTATCTTACTACCTAAAGATCTAGAGGATGATACAACTGGATTGGAACAGGTAAAAATAAATATTTGGTTAAATTTCAAAATATTCTTTGGGGAGCTGCATATCAATCACTCTTATCCTTGAATGTTTCAAAACAGTCTGATTAGAAACGAATGAAAAATAGATTTATTTCCTAACGTGTCTTGCAGCCATTTGTTTAGTTCATTGAATGTAGCAGGGCCTTATCATTTGGACCATATATTAATAAAATGAAGCTGGACTGAATAGAATGAGAATACAGCTGGAAGGGACCTTGGAGGTCTTCTAGTCCAGGGGTCCCCAACTCCCGGTCTATGAACCAGTATCGGGCTGTGGCATGCCAACAACCGGTCTGCACAAACAAGCAAAGCCGCATCCATTGGATGCAGGCAGCACACAAAACCACACACCCTCTAGTCCGCCAAAAAACCTCTCTCCACAGAACCGGTCCCTGGTGTCCAAAAGGTTGGGGGCCTCTGTTCTAGTCCAACCCCCTGCTCAAGCAGGAGACCCTATACCATTTCAGACAAGTGGCTGTCCAGACTCTTCTTAAAACCTCCAGTGATGAAGTACCCACAACTTCTAACAGCAAGCTGGACTGGATGAAGGAATGGTTCATTAACTCAAAACACAACATCTAGTAGCATTCCAGCAATGATACTACCATTGCATTAATGTAACTTGCAGCAGTCTCAGACAAAACACAGTGCCACAGTAGATTAAAGAACGGATGCATGCATTGATGAATCTAAATTAACTTTGACTTAAAGTTAACTAAAACTCTTTCATCTGTGATCAGTGGTTTGCCAGCTGCTTGATAAATTCCACTATGTATGGCTGATAGGCAATAATACAGCACAATACAGTACCATACATACAATACAATACTGTTACATTACCATACCGTACAATAATACAGTATCCAGTTAGAGTTGATACTCTATTCACCTATTGTTTTTCTTATATCTTTAGCTTGAGAAGGAGCTCACCCTGGAGAAGCTGGTACAGTGGACGAATCCCAGTGTGATGGCAAACAGCAGAGTGAATGTGTTCCTCCCCAAATTCAAAGTGGAAAGTGAACATGACTTCAGACCCATTTTAGAAAGCCTTGGTATGACTCACATGTTTGATGAGAATGCATCAGATTTCTCTGAGATGTCGGAGTCGAAAGGCATTGTTCTTTCCAAGATCATTCACAAAGTCTCTCTGGAAGTAACTGAAGAAGGAGCTGAGTCTCGAGATGTTCCCGGATACCGGATCCTACAACACAAAGATGAATTTAATGCGGATCATCCTTTTCTTTTCTTCTTTAAGCACAACAAAAGTCGCAGCATTGTGTTTGCTGGTAGATTCTGTTCTCCTTAAACAGAACTGCCTACAAAGAAACCTGTTATCAATTTTTTATGGGTATGAAATATTCAAAGGCAATCTCACAGTTTCTCCTGTTAATTGAATCGAATAACTTCCTGTTCAAGTGAATTTACAGAGGAGTAGCCATATCAGTTAGCAAAAATAAGTATAGGGACCCTTGAAAGATTAAAATAATTCATTATGGCACATCTTCTAGTGAACCATAGTTAAATTTATCAGCTACATATCATACACCAAAGTTGGGAAGAAGTTTTTTTGTTGTTTACATATAAAATAAACCTCAGGTCAAATTCAGCAAAATGTATCTCTGATAAGTAGCAATGAAACAATATGCAAAGTTGTGGTGTCTACAGTTCGTTTTACGCTCTTTGGCAATAATGAATTTCAACTTTATTGAACTAGGGAAGAGCTCATATGAGTTTCTTCAGACCTGAATTAGTTAAATCACTAATTTGTCACTGGAACATTAGAAATTTTATATTTGTAGTGAACTTCATTACATTAATCAATTAATATGTTTTTCCCCATAAATATGTTTAACAGGGAAATATTTTCTTTTGTTTTTTTTTATTATTTTTGGGTGGTTATTAACGTAGATTACCTTCATTTGTTCCAAATAAAGCATTCCAAAAACTATATTTTCTCATTGCTGAAGTTTAAAGTGAAAAACAAAACTGCACCTCCTGCATCATTTGAAATCTGACTTCATATATCAGTGATAATATGCATTAATTAATGCTGTTACTTAGCGCTGTTCTTTGTTATGGAATAAGTTTCAGTTCCAGGTTTGGATTTGTTGATGAGCGTTTACGATTTTATGTCTCTTCTACATGAAAGTTTTGAACTAGATGCTAAATCATATATTTCAAGAAGGTATTTGGCAAAAGAAGAAATCTATTCTTTGGGAGGGTGATTAAGAAATGCTAACTAAATGTTGGGAAATGTCAGATATGCCAAATGTTACTGAACACACCTCCCAATAGCCTTTTTAAACTTGACTGATGACAAGGCACGCCAGGAGCCTCAATAAAATACGTGGTGGGCTACCATTTCTCCAACGCTGCCTTAGGATGTAAGTGGAGGGGACAATCTGTGAATAGGGGTTGATTTGCTGTACTAACACTGATTTACAGTGATCCATTGTGGTAAGTGTGCTGTGGTGAGATGGAATTAGCTCAGCTACATTTGTGTTGTAGAAAATCAAGCTTGCATGATTCTAGGCATTGCCACAGCCAACTCACTGTGGCACACTCGGCATGGCCAACCCACTGCTGGACAATTCACCATGGCCAACTCGCTGTGGGACAACTCGTTGCAAGACAAAAGTTACACCAATGTCAAAGAAATGATGAAAAGGAATCATTAAAGAAAGGATGCAAAAGGAAGGACAGAATGAAACGTGAATGGTAAAAATTAAAATAAATTTTAATTTATTTTAAGTAACTAAATAGAATTGTTAAATTGTCCCGCAGTGAGTTGTCTTATGGCGAGTTGGCTTTGGGAAGTTGGCCGTGGCGATTTGGCTGCAGTGAGTTGGCTGTGGCAAGTTGTCCCATTCCCTTCTGAACACTAAACTAGACCTGAATCCGGTGTATTGAGTTCCCTTCTATTCATATGCATATGAGAAAAAAACACTGCAAGGTTTACCTGCTGCAAATTAGGACATGGAATGGAGCAGTGATAGCTGCACTCTCTTGTTTGACTAAATAATTGTATTTGCTGCCATATACTGAATATTTACAGGTTCTTGCTGTGATTGGGCTATGAAATGGAGATCTAGTTCAGATTAAGATACAGACATGGCAGGAGGCAGCTTGCCCTGAATTAAATCAGGGCATTTTCAGAAAGTAGATCTATTTAGTGCCAATGAGAAGTAAAAATTTAAGACTATGAAGATAAAAATTAATGAATAGGAGTTAAGTTAATTCTGGCTACAGTACTATGCACATTTGTTATTGAAAATTTTATAAAGTTTTACAATATAAATCCCCCCCTCCCCCCAAACCCAACCCTCCCTCCCTCCCCCCCTCACTTCCCAGAGCCAATCACAGGATTAACAATAAAATAATCATAATCTAACTAACATTAATCAACTATTAGTCTAACAAATCTATGAGTTCCTTTAACTCTCTTTTAAAACAAATATACAATTATTAAACATCACTTTAACATAATTTTAAATATTAAAAAAGTCTTCAAGTGAGTTTTTGGTTTACTATAAAAAAACAAGGTATAAAGTTGAGTTATATTTGTTAGGTAGAAGAGGTTTGGTTATATATAGAAAGAACACTCATTAGGAAGTGTATTCGCCTTTAGAACCGGTAAAGTCGATTTAAACTCTGAAATTGATGGGTTAGAAGATAAGTAGGTATACCTTTCATTTTCCAATTGTACTATGCACATTTGGATAGAATATACTTAAACATAAATAAGACCGAAGCAAATTCAAATAAATCTCCTATGAAAAAAGAGGTGTGATGAGCTGATAGGTCTTGTTTCAGGTGCTCTACTTGATGAGATGTACTGAACTTGGCAATGGTCCTTGTCCATGGTATACCCTGTCTCTGGAATGCTCCACCCCAATGAAGTACTGTATCACTTTCAGTAACAACTGGAGTTCTAGGTGTGTTTGGATTGGCTCCTACCTTTACCCAAACCCTAGCAAGCAGTCATTTTATTGTCCTTTGCTGCCAGGTAGAGATGTTTTTATTCTCCAATCACTGAACAAACAATATAGGTTGATTTTTAACACACCACTTTTCTACAAAGAACCCTCAGATTTCTGGTAGTATTGCATCAATGTTTTACTGTGAACATTTTAAGCATTTTATAATTCAACCCCTTTGGAATTTATTGTGATTTGAATCCATTGTAAGCCATGCAAAAATGACCTAGTTTTGTGGTGTGACCTAGATTTTAATTAAAGAGTTTTAAAAAAATAACATACAAATAAATGAACAAAAACATAAATATTCTGAGTCTCGGCAACCGTCCCCACTGCTGAGATAGAGGAAAAAGACAGAAGTGTGCATTTACCAAACCAATTATTATTTCATGTTGCTTGATTCTGGCACAATGGCCTCATGTGAGTTTGCACTTCATGTACAGATAGTCCTTGTGTAGCGACTGTCTCCTTTAGTGACTGCAGTTACAACAGTGATGAAAATGTAAAAAAGTTTGCTGTAATTAACAAAGGAAGATGAATCCGTTAATGGTTTTCCACAGATGGGATCATCTTTGAAAGCCCAAGAAATGCAAATTATAAAAATAAATGCAACCAGGTAAATGCAAAGCCAGAATAGTTGAAGTTGGTTCAGGTTCTCCGAACTGAATTACTCCAGGGCAGTGTTCTACTGCCTTTATAATGACTATCCATGTGAAACTGAGCCCAATTCAAGAATACTCTGACTTGCTGGGGGCTGGGAGGTATAAACATTCATCCAATCAATCAATATTATCCCACATATACAATTATATTTTAATATTATTACCGAGATAAATTTAATTGGTATGTTCAGAAAGATGTGTCTTTGCACATTGTCCAGACTGCAGTATGGTCTTCTGAGAGAAGTGCTATGAGCACTAACTTTGAGACGGAATGTTAGTTGAAGTGTCAAATTAAAATATTCTTCTTTTCACAGAGACTTTTAATTCACCGTACACTATTTGTTTTATATACACTGTATTTGTTTTAATAATTTCATTGATCCCATCTTGGGATCCCAGGTGGGTGAAGGTGTGGTTTAAAATAATGCCTACACTTGGTGTTGGTGTACGCAAAACATATACACCCACACATCTCTATATACTCATTATAGGTAAACCTGGGTAAAAATATAAATATTTACCACTTATTATTGTCATTTTTCTAAAAAAAAATGGATTTGAGTTTTGATATTATTTAAAAATCTGTTTAATTATGTATTTTATTCCTTTAAAGCGACAGTCTTAAACATATATTAAAGCCATTTGGACTAATCAGTGAAATTTACTCCAGAACACACTTGCACTGGATTTTGCTGTCAAATTGCTAAATGTGTCTGTGAGTCACAAAGAGCAACATTAATTATCCTCATTTCCTAACTTGTTAAACTTGTACAGGCAACAACCTACTTCTGTTACTCCCCCAAAATACTCTATTGTATTTGATATTATTTTGTTTGACTAAAGGTAGCCTAAACAAATGGGGTTAAATAAAAGCAATGACTGAGATTATTTTAGGATAATTAAAAAATCACCCAAAATATAGACTCACATAATAAAAAAAAAAGAGTTCAAAAGCTCATACAATGGGAAGTGGGTAAACATTTCTCCAAACATCACGAAATCATCTGATGTATATAGCAATGAAAGGGTGTGGTAATTATAGACTTCCCCAGAAAGTTGAAGAGAAGCATTGAGTAAAGGCAAACTCTTAACAACCAAAGACTAGCAGCCGGTAAATATGATTTTGTTTAAATATTAATGTGCCTAAGCAATGAATGTGAAAGCAATGCTTTTTATAGCTAAGGGTGTGGGGGGGGGGAGGTGTGAATGTGTGAAAAGAAAATGCTGTTTTAGGAATTCAGAGGTTAGTCGAAAATTTAATACAAGATAGTGAAGAACAACAGATAGTTGTTATGTCTGTACAAACAAAACCAAGTGAAAGGTGTTGTCGGTTTTGTGAATGAACGTTTGTGAATGAAATGAAATCAGTGTGACTGCTTTTTATTTTAAATCTAAATATAGTAATGGCTGGGGCTATAGTGTCTGTTTGGAAAGGATATGGCAGATACTACAAACAGGACATTTACCAGTGTAGGTTTCCATTGCTGAGAACACATTGGTAAGATCCCTAAAATGGGTAGAGGAAGGGGGAAAGTATGTCTTGGTGTCCTAAATCCTGCAGACCACTCTTGTTCCCATGTGAATTTTCAACTTGCCATAAGAAATTCATTGAGAAAGAGGGGAAGAATTTAAATATCTGTTTCTCCAAAAAACAATGACTGGTTTGTCCATACAGTACCAAGAACACAGCTCCCTTCAGCAGCACCCAACATTGTCCTGCAATCCAGGTATTCAACAGGGAGACTTCAGCCCACCCATCAGACATGGGGCTACTTTTTTCAGCTCACGATTTAAATTATTATAATTGTGATATTTTAACTTCCTCTGGTTCAATGTTGTTTAATGTTACTTTAAAACTAGAGTATAGGTAGTCCTCAACTTACAACAGTTCATTTAGTGACCATTTGAAATTACAACAGCAGTGGAAAAAAGAGACGTATGACTGTTTTTCACACCTATGACTGTTACAACATGATTACATGATTTACATTCGGATGCTTGACAACTGGCTCACATTTGTGACGGTTGCAGTGTCCTGGAGGGGGTCATGTGATCCCCTTTTGCAAACCTCTGACAAGCAAAGTCAATGGGGAAGCCAGATTCACTTAACGACCATGTTACTAATTTAACAACTGCAGTGATTCATTTAACAAATGTGGCAAGAGAAGTCACAAAATGGGGCAAAATTCACAACAAATTTTTCACTTAGCAACATCAGTTTTGGGCTCAGTTGTGGTCATAAATTGAGGACAGCCTGTATAGCTATTAGAAAATCAACATCGTCTCTATACTTCTATTGGTCTATATCAGTGTTTTTGAGACTTGGCAACCTTAAGATATGTAGACTTCCGCTCCCAGTATTCCCCAGCCAACTGAGGGATTCTGGGAGGTGAAGTCCACACATCTTAAAGTTGCAGCGCTCTGGATAGTATACAGTACTGCATGTTTGTTATGAATAACTATTTATTTATTTATTTTATTTATTTATTAATTGTATTTATATCCCGCCCTTCTCCTTTCGGACTCAGGGCGGCTGACAAATGATAAAAAGCTAACATATTACACCTAGTTAAAATTTAATTAAAATGAAATATTTGAGAATGTCAAATTTAAAAGTAATTAAAACCCCTATAAAATCCCCTAGGCCAGTCCCGCTTGC